ATATATATATATATATATATATAAATTTAGTTTCTTTGCTATTGTCTCTCCCTTTTTCATCTAAATTTTAATAAAAGAAAATAAATGACAATATGAAATCTATTGATTGAAAAACGAATATACAATATTTTATTCTAGTAACACCTTTGTGAGTAATTGTTTAGGTGTGTATGTATGGGAACCATATTATTGACGAAGAATAATGCTGATGAATTAGTGGATATATTATGATTTTTTTCTTTATATGTGTCAAATCAATGAATATTAGTGACAATAGAAATTACAATTATAAAAATATCATATATATATATTCTCACATACCATATTTTCTGAAAACATGGCAACAGAAGTTTGAGGAATACCTTGTAAAAATTTGCTCAAAAGCATTGGGAGTATTTTTAGGGTCCACTTTGCTAGTTTACAGGCACATTAATGGCAACTGAACGATAACTTAGTATCAATAATGTGCGAAATTCTAATTGTGTGAAGTGTGTTGAAGTAATATCTTCTAAAAAGCATGTAGAACTTGATTCCTCAAAAATTGTTTGAGAAAGTTTGTTGTGATTGTTATTTATTTTTATTTTTTCAATATCATGTATATTATTGTATCAATATTTGTATTCACAGCATAAAAAAATTCCAACGAATATGTTGATGGAAAATGATAGTATCTTTTCATGTTAAAAATATGAATCATTCTCATTTTTAAAGAAATTTTCTTACATTTTAATAACAATACCCATTCAATTTTAACTTTCCTCGTCCCAAATGTTTATAAGATCAAGAGAAATAGAATCAAGTGTGTCATATATATATATATATATATATATATATAATTTATTATTATTTACTGAAACATGGTCTTCAACAATACTAAGTGTGTCAATTCATCTACTATTGACATTCCATCTAATAATTTTGGACAGCCAACCATTTTCATTTTCACACTCTATTCTACCAATTTCCAAGCATTAGTTCAATTTAATTACAATATATTTATATTTATATTTATATATATATGGGAATGTTAAATAGACCCAGGTTTTTACTAAATCGATCCACCCATCTCCACCCATCCTAACCATTGTGAAAAAAATATAAATTTTTGGATTTATTTCTCCACTATTGGAACTGCTGCAACAAATAAGAACCAACCATCTTCTTCATGATTACCATATTGTTCATCGAGGGTGGATCTATTTAGTAAAAGCATGAGTCTATTTACGATTCCACTATATATATCTTTGTATACTTGTCTGTGTGTGTACGCATTCACTGAAATTAAATTGTAGTTAGACGAAACTAACAAAAGGGGAGCGGGAGCTTGTGGCAGTGTGACTCAGATGCCAACGTGGCAGGATTCAATTCTCCACCTCACTTAACAGAACTCATCCGTCTACATTTGTACATACCCTTTCACCGTGTCAAACAAATTACCATGGACAACAGAGCTAGCCACCATCATCATCCGCCACCTCCCACCACAAACGAACGGACACGTGGCATCACCCTCTGTCCAATCATGCAGTAACAACTGGACAAAGCAACCGTTACTAGTGGGCTGCCTTTCAAAAAACGCCCCCGATTTTCGCTAACGAGAATCCCAGCACGTGACGCATTAATACTACTTCAAATGGATGAATTTTTCTAGTTGGATGAACTACAGCCGTTAACGCCGGCATGGCTGTGGTACCTATGTTCCATCGGCGTTATTATTCGTTATGTTATTTGTTCTACTTCATTCATCCATTTTCACCTTATTGCCGAACTCGCCGTTTTGTCAACTTCTTCAACGACACGAAGAGTCTGACACCGACTGACTGACTCTCCCGTATCGAAAGTAGTGAAGTACTCACACTTATAGCCGTCCCCATTTCTCACGTTCCACTCACGATCATCACTGGGGATGTGGAGGAGGGCCGGGGCGAGACAAGGCGAGGGCCACCGCGGTTGCCCTCCTAACAGTTTTCCCTTTGCACACACAGCTTCTAGGTGCTTCTACTACCACCAGATGCATGTATCGTCCGGGGAGGTTCGGAATCACTGCAATCCTGACTGAAATAGATGCAGTTGATAGCTTCCAGAGTAGGGTGAAGAATCGTAGATCGGTTGCCACCTGATCACGTACAGAGGGTCCATCTGCACACATGGCAGCGCCGACGGGGCATCTGTTTATCTCTGATTTGCGGGTGAACGGAGGACTGTCGCACCGTGTAACAATGTAATCGTCGTCTTCAAGCATCTTTGTCCAGCAGCAATTTGCCTTGCATTCCAGTCGTAGTAGTAGTAGTTGTAGCAGTAGTAATACAACAGCCGCAGCAACATCGTCAGCGGTGTGAGAGAGAGAGAGAGAGAGAGAGAGAGTCAGAGTAGCACATAATGGTCTGGTGTGGGGCCCTTTCTGCCCACCTTCGCGAATCTTCCGTTGACCGTTGACTGAACAGCATCTCACCAACCTGGAGGGGGGGGGAGAGGAGGTGTGTCCACATAAATAAGTAATTAAATAAACTAATGAGGATGTTAATTGTGTCCCCTTTGGAGGGAACTGCCATGCGGAACCAGGAATTGATTATTGCTTTATGGGGGATGCATTGCAGAATTATTATTGCTCAAAAAAAAAAAAAAAAAAAAGAAAGAAAGAAAGAAAGAAAAGTAGGAGGATATCACTACTACTAGTGGAAGACTTGCTGTTTCCAACATTTGTTTTAAAAAATATATATTTATTTATCTACAAAAAAAAAAAAAAAAAAAAAAAAAGCTTGAAAACCTTCTCTAGTCCTGGGTTATTGGATTTGGTTGGAAGGGTTGAACACCATACTGATGATCCCTATAAAAAACTTAAAATTAATTCTTATTAGTTAATTTTGTAAATCTCAAGGATATTTTACAGTAAATCTCAAGGATATTTTACAGCAAACAAGGAAATAAGAATAAAAATATCAAGTAAGTTCATGTATACATACATACATACATGCATACATATGTAACAAAAGAAGCGAACACTCTTTGCAATTATCTATTCAAAGATTACATTTAAACTTTATTTTATTTTGTTTCCCCCTCCTGCAGGGCCTTTGCAAGATCTTGTTCTCAGCAACTTGGTTGATTTCTGATATTGTAAATAAAAAATATACAATCATTTAAGAATGATATGAAAGCTCATCTTTGTAAAATAAAGCTGAAAAATGATGGCCCCTTCGGAAGAAGCCAAATTGATATGAGGTCCTTGAACCCAATTGGTAGCTTGGTGGAGAAAACCACTTGCTATTGTATTAAAACATAGGCCATAGTTCATAGTTCCTCTTATAGAAGGTAACTTGTTCATGGAGATTTTTTCTAGTACAATGCTCAAAAGTTTAATGGGGTAGAACTAGTTTTAGATTTTAAGTTTTAATCATAAAATTATTTCTTTGTTAGTTCAAACATACTATGGTTTCTATGTGCTTCAAAAAGTGAATCTATTACTTTGAATATGGAAACATCTAACATAGAGATGATAGAACTTTCCATCTTTGAAATTTCAAGTGGCAACATTAAAACTACCACTAGTGCATTTCCTTTTAAAAGGAAAGTTGATGCTATATGTTAAGTTTGCTTAATGAATTCCACACTTATAAAATACTTATAATGGAAGGATTTATAATTTCCTTAAAATACATTTGAATTAATCTTTAGTTTGATCTGATTTAATGATTTCCAAAGGCAAAAATTTGACTATGCATACAATTATTCAATTCATTATGTTATGCTGCAATAATGGTGTCAAATATTCAATAACTCTCAAAGGTAAATTTCCCTTGACTTTAATTTATATCCAAAAATTGAACCTAAATAATAATCACAAAAAATACAATATTATTAACCTTGATATATCACAACAATGATTATGACATATTGATTTTTTTAATACTATAAAAAATTATGTAGAATTCTCACATAGACTAAATGAAACTTTGAATGCTCATGTTTTAATTTCTTCATTAGATTTCAATACACCTTAAAAAATAAATAAAATTCAATTCACAATCGAAATTATATTTTGTACGAAAAAATAATGAAACAAAGTGTTATTTTAAAAGAAAAAAAATATAATAATTTTACTTTCAAAATCATTGAGAATAAAGTGAAGCATGATTACAAAGAAGCATGAAGGAAAAATAAGAAATTAACAACACCAATCCACTACCATATTTTCCATACAATAAAAATACAAAATAAACTAACCCGTATACAATTGTGCTATGTGGGTTCACATTAATATGATTTTCAATAATTAACAGGATTTATAAATCAGAAACAAAATAGTTTTGAAGACCAGTGCATACACACACACAGAGCACACATGACAAATGATGAAACAGAATAAAAGAAAAAAAACAGAGAGACATTATTGTAAAACAAGAATCAAAACCATCTTATCTGAGAAAGAGTTCCTTCAACAACTACCCAAAAATTTCTTTTAATCACTTAATTTTTAATTTTTTAATTATTAATTTCAGATTCAAAGAAATGTTTAATACAACACTAACACTAGCTTACGAACAGAGTTTGCCTCGAGGGATTTTTCATCCACCATCCATCCCCTTGTCGAACGCAGGTTTCGTCATCCACATTCAAAATTGGCTTTCTTACATGACGATAAACCCTACTGGTGGCAACTTTCGTTCCCCGAACGAAAACGCCCACCATCGTCGCCGTCGTCGTCGTCGACACGACCGCCGTCCACTCCATCGTCGCGACGTTCGTCGTCTTCAACTTCTTCGTCCTCGACTTCGACGTCGTCGTCGTCGGCATCATGGTCTTCTTCGTCTTCAGTGTCGTCGTTTTGTGTTGCTCTTCTTCATCTTTTCTCTTGTTCAGATTCGAAAGCGTGAGAAAGGAATCTCGCGTGGGTTGTTCTAATCGAGATTCGGGAAGTGGGTGGCGGTTGGGTGATTATGCAGAAGAGCCCATGACGATGAATAATGGGGGTGCGGCATCCCTTTGGGGTGGGGTGGACTCCACTTGCGCCGTGCAGAGCCCACGCTGCGGTAGCAGCAACAGAAACAGCAGCATCAATCATAGTGCCTCGGATGATATGTAGCATTCCCCTGAGCTAGCCTGCTCCCGCTCCCGCTCCCGCTCCCACTCCTCCCAACACCACCAGCAGAGCAGCAGCAGAGCAGCAAGCAGCACAGCTGCTGCGTGCAGCTAGCTATGCTCTGGTCCTCTCTCTTTTCATCAGACACTCCATGTGCACACGGATTTTATAAACAACGCGCTTATCCCCTCCTCCACTGGTCAAGACGCCACGAGAGCGTCGTAGCTTCTCTCTGACCCAAGTACTGGTGCATTACATGCAGCAGGCTTCTGGCAATTACGATAGCCTTTTCCGGACACTGGATCTGTATCCATCACAACCGCAATCTATCCAGTAGCTGTCTTGTTCTTCGCCTCCTCCCCCTCCTCATCCGTCTTCGTCTTCTTCTTCCTCTTCTTTTGTTGTTATGATGTTTTCTTTTTCCCTTGCTTCTGACTCGCTCTCTTGAACCGTGGGTTTCCGAGGTTGCGTGGGACTAGCACTTTTGAAGATGTAAGTGATAAGCTGCCTCTGACTGATCTGTCCAGGGGGGGGAATAGTCAGGTTCAGGGCTGAGAGTTTTTGGTACGTAGTCAGGAAATGGACGATTGAGAGAGAGAGAGTTTGTGACCAGTTTTTGTTGACGGAGCTGTTTCATTTTTCTGGAAATGGTTGTAGACTGTCGCAACCAACCGTCAATGACCTGTGCAAGCTCCCGAAGTTGTCTCGGACAGTGCCATGCACGCTGGATTGGGGTGCAAATGTTTTGTTTAAAGAGATTCCTGTCGGTTGCTTCGGCCTACTCCGTTGCGCTGTTGAGCTGCTTTGCTTTCATTCTGACAGGTCTTGTGTGATATCTACAGAGCTCTCTGCAATGCGAGCGTGAAGGAAGCATAAAATGTCGTGGTAAGGCTCAATTCATTGTCGTTGTTTTTGTTCATTACGTTGCAGCTTGTTCATTGATGTTCCATCTTAGTACACCGAGGAAGCAATGAGCAGTTTACTGCGTGGAGCCGCATTCCAATTTGCGATTCATTACATCCTGTTCTTTGACGATGTTGAATTTCAAGGAGTGAACTTGGGGTTAGAACAGTCCACATTCTCCACCAGCAGTCATCGGCTTGGATGATTGTTAGCCTGGATGAATTGTTCATTCCATTGGCACTGATTATTTATTGGAAGGCAACTCTGCAATCTACCTATGATGGTGGCAGCACAATTTGAGGCTGTAGATGATTTAGTGCGCCGTCTAAATCAACAGAATTATATTTTCTTTTCAATTTTGAGTTGAAGAAGGCTAGAATTGTTTCCCACGTGTTGTAAGCTCGAGGTAGCCGAATGCTCAGCCCCGAACATGGACGCTTTGTCATGGATCGCTAGAACGTGATCCGTGGCAATCTACAGGAAGTGCCCTCAACGATTGAAGCTCGTTGCCGAGCTTCATAACGGATGCTACAATTTCTGCATTTGTGACTAGGCTAAGCTAACACTGTTTTAGATCTTTCTTGCAATATAGGTCGCTCTAATGGTTTCCGAATTGCTCGAACTTTTGAAAATTCTTCATTTCTGTAACACTCTTCTGGGATATAGAGGAATCACATCGTATGTCTTCCTCTGGAACAGCTATTAACAAGATGACGAGGATGTGGTAAATAACGTACGTGGGGTTAAATCTTCGTCAAGATGGGGCGTGGGCAGCAGATGAGCATCTGGGACATTGAGAGAACCGTTGTGAGCACACCGGGGACAGAGACTCGGAACATATATAGCCACAGAAGACTCGTGGTTGTTGCAATATTAACCACCTTTGTTCCTTTTGTCATTGCAAGCTCCTACCTCTACTATACCACTCCTGATGCTTCAACAGAAGCCATGCTTTTCTTTCAAAGGCTCAAGGTATGCCCTCCATTCCCTAAAGACCAAATAGCGTAGCATTTTGAAACACTGCACAGAAGAGGTTGTAGTCACATCCCTTCATTGCAGTGTGTCATCCCATAGAACCTGACGATTAGGTATTTTCTACAGGAAGGCAAAACCACATCTTCATTCGTCAATGCTACAAGCCAAAGCAATCCTCAAGTAGAACCTAAAAATGGGGATAGTGAGATATCCAAAGACACAAACCAAGCGGAAGTCGATCGAGATTCAGCTGAAGATGTAATTGTCGAAGATGTTGATCCTAAAGATGTAGCAACATTGGAGTCTAAGAATCCTACGTTCCCAGGTGTAAATGTCTCTGAGCCGCACTTGGAGGGGCCGGAGGAAAACATCACTAGCATACTAATGGAAGGGCATGGTCTCACCAATACCACGAACTCGAACAACAGAGGTGATTATCTGATGACATCCCATCTGTTGTGAAATAGCCTCTCACTTGGTTTTGTGCACGTTGCTGAGTTTAGAGTGTGTCAGCTCATTCTCACGATTTTGATAAAATGATCGTTGCGTGTGAACTCCAGTGGGCTGTGATCTTATAAAAGGCAGTTGGGTGCCAGACCCGCGTCCACCGCAGTATACAAATTCCTCGTGCAGATATATTCAAGGGCACCAGAATTGCATGAAAAATGGACGGCCTGACACAGGATTTCTACACTGGAAGTGGCAACCAGAGAAATGCGACTTACCCAGAATTGATGCCCAAGCCTTTTTGAACGCTATGCGTAACAAGTCCATGACCTTTGCTGGGGATTCTATTGCTCGCAACCAGTTTCAGTCTCTTCTATGCCTTTTGTCACAGGTTTATTTCTTCACTCATTCTCGTTTCGGATCAGGCAGTGTTAACTCTTGGTACAAGACCAATGCAACTGAGAATTGGGATGTGAGGACATCTTTTTTAACTCTTGTTAGTGGTCAAGATTAGTAATTTTCTTCGCCCTTGTTCACAGTGGCGTTCCTTTATGGGTTTCAGGTTGAGGTGCCAGATCATACTTATAACGCACCGGATGATCGGGACAATGTCCATGTCTTTCGAACATATAACTTTACAATCGCAATCTACTGGTCTCCATACCTTGTGCATGTGGAAGACAAAGACATCACATGGCCTGACAATAAAACGCAGAGTGTGGCACATATCCACGTTGATAAGCTCGACAGAGCTTGGACCGATCGCATCTCTGGCGTAGATATTCTGCAAGTCTCGACAGGTACAAGTTGAATGGAGGAGCAAAAACCACCAATTTCTTTCCCTCCAGCTAAACTCGACAAAGATTTCTCATGACGTAGGTTTTCCTACAGAAGCTGGATGTTTTCCAAGCTCATCCCCCCTGTTTACATTCTTTCAGGGCAATGGTGGTTCAAGCGTGGATTGTTTCTACAAGGCGGCCAAGTTTTAGGTGGCCACATATGCGACGGATGGAAAGAGTGCGAGAAGGAGATTGGCTTTGCTGATCCTTATCGAACAGCGATCCATCACCTGCTGAAGGATAGTCTATCCATACCTGGGTACACTGGGACTACCATTCTCCGCACTTTTGCTCCTGATCACTTTGAGGGTGGAGCATGGGACAGCGGCGGCAGGTGTAAGCGCACCACCCCTGGAGGTGTGCCTATCGGCCCCTTGACTAACTGGATGTACGAGATCCAACAGGAAGAGTTCAAGAACATCACAGGTACGAATTCCCTTGTTTTTCCAATCCTGATAGTCAGATTTTATCAATACCTCACAATCTTTGAAAACAACTCTTAAACATGGAGAAGATGCTTCCGACACAAAGAGGCTCTCGTCACCCCTTTCCCAGATTGTGTGTTAACGCGGTATTGTTCTCAGCGTTAACTCGGAGGCCTTGTGACAACCTGCAGGTGAAGCAAGCGAATCTGAGAAACAACGAATCAGGTTATTAGATATCACCAATCTGGCTCAAATTCGAGCTGACGGCCACCCTGACGTGTACATGAAATTCCAACCTTTCGCAAATGAGAAGAAGCAACTCCCTCAGAAGGATTGTCTTCACTGGTGTCTTCCAGGACCTATCGACACATGGAATGACCTTCTTGTGGAGTCCTTGCGTGATGCAGTCTTCGGTTCATGATCCCTCCACCACCACTATTGCTGCTTGTGTGCTTTGCTTGTGGGCCCTCGTGGTTCTGTCTCTCTCTCTCTCTTGCTGTGCAGTGTCATTTATCAGTGTGCTACCACCAGAAGAACAACTGACGGAGACTAAGCACCATTGCTGATGAAACAACAACATTTCAGCATACTGAGCAACATCCTGACATTCCAAACACTTGCAAGCTGGACAGTAGAGAGGAAGAAATCTTTCTATATATACATATATATTTATCTAAACGAAAACAAGCATCTAGAGGAGGATGCCATCGCTAGAGACCATTGAATCCTTCGCTATTCGGTGACGCTGGTGATACATTTAGTATAGGGAGTTGTAATTCGGTGCCTCAACTTGGATGGCAGAGCAATGGCAAGTGTGAGTTGACTGACAGCTTTGCCTGCCAAAACAAAACAATGTTGAGAGGAATCGTGTATTATAATGTAACAATTAGAAGAAGAAAGAAATCTCACTTTCTACAATCCATAAATCAGCAGATTCCCTAGTCTATGTTGCTTGTTGTTGGCTTTGACCCATTCGTAATTATACTGAAGTCTTTCTCTAAAAACATTCAATATTCTGCAAGACAATGATATATTTATATATAATTTCAACTTTGAATTCATGAAGTAGTCCATTGGGTTGATTCATAGTGTAGTGTTAGTTTCATACTTGGACACGAGGAAGCATCTGAGAATAGATGAGCGAAAGAACTACAAAGAATATATTGACAAATGATCACAAGCTATATCTTTATAATCACCCACATGGAGTAATGTGGTAAGAAATTATAAAAAAGAAGATGGATTACTTAAGTACTGAAAATTTATGGATAGGAGGGTGTGGTAAAGTGGTATTTTAATGTACAAAAGCCCATTATAGTTATAACATTATATATTTTTTTTACAAAAATTAATTTTATTGTATTTTTGAATTTTTATATGCTGCCTTTTACCACAATTTCCATACATACATACATACATACATACATACATATATTAAACATTTTTTTAAATTTTTTGTACTAATATATATATATATATATATATATATATGCAATTTCTTGCTAAAGGTATATAGTTTTATGATAATTTAATTAAAATAAAACAATCTCTAAAATAACAATTTATAAAACTAGTTTTACATTACTGTGTTTTTTATAGTTACAACATTATATTAATACAAAATTAATATTCAAAACATTAATAATTTTGTTTTGAAAATCTGTTTTTTGATCAAGAACCAAAGATGTGACAATCAAAATATTAACTATAGCATCTTATCTATTGATATTATATATCTATTATTTAGAATAATAAAAATATACAAAAATAATATATAAAATTATTTTTTTGTATATTATATAAGCTCATAGTTTTATTTTTATTCTACTACCAATATAAAATATTACTGAAATTTTGAGTATCAGGATTGCAAAGGTTCATTACAAAAAAATATAAATAAATAAATAAATAAAAATTAAACATCAATGCTAACCTATAATATGTTAAAAAAATAACTATAAAAGAATCATATATATATACATATATATATATATATATATATATATATATAAGCTACTAATATAATGTATTATAAATAAATTAATAAATTTCAAATTTCATGTTTTACTTAATGTATAATAATATATTAATATTAAAATTCTTACATATAAGATTATAATGATTTTTTTTATAAATAATGCTATAAAAAATTAGAGAGAAAAAAGAAAGACAAATATATATATATATATATATATATATATAGGTGTGTGTATATATGTATGTATATGTATGTATATATAAAATTTGTATCTAATGTCATGTGAATTTTGTCTCCCATATGTCATATTTGTTGTTAATACTTACACTAAGTAATGGAGCTTTGCTGCTTAAAACCTTCAACTTATCTTAGCTTTTTGACAACAACAACCTCATAATGTTTACCATTTTTTTTCAATATTTTGATTATAAAAATAGACATTTTATTCTTTACATATACATCATGGCATATAAAACTCTATAATATCTTTTTTTACTTATTATTATTATTATTCTTTTCTTCTATCATCTCTTTTATACCTAATTCTCACAATATAGATGGTTGAGGTGGTATAATAGAAAAAGAAATCAGTGTTATTAAAAATTTGACATTTTATATGACAATAAAATATTTAATTTTTGATATAATTTTTAAAAATAATATGGTATTTGTCTTATTAAGGTATTAAAAATGTAAAATAATCAATTAAAAAATAACACAAAAGAATATGCTAAAAAATTAAAAAAAATTAGGAGATTTAATGATATTGCTATAAAATTAACATTTGATCAATTACAAAAAAATTAAGAAATATAAGAAACATAAAAATGAGATTATCATAAGTTGTCAATAATATAAATCTCAAAGAACCAAAAACTCAATACATTCTTGTGTAACTCAAATAGAATAAATATTTACTCAAAATTAATATAGTATTGAAACTAGAACAACTATTGCCAAAGTCAAGAAGACTAAAAAGACTTGAAACAAGACTAAGGATTAGAAAGGCGTTGACAAGAAAGAAGAATGCTTTACTCTTGCCTCCATATATACTATCTAACTAGAAGCTACATAGTGACATACTAAAGGACCTCCGACACGTGTCTAATTTGCAAGACACATGTCTTAACTTGCAAGACAAGTTTCCTATATGCGCATCATATTGTTAGCTTGTATTACAAGCTATCAACATGTATGACATGTGGCTAATTTGTTAGCCAAGTTTATAACCTACCAATCACTATAGACATATATTAAAAGTAAAACTATATCTATGAAGCTTCTTGGAAGCTTTCTTATAAGATATTATTAAATTAACTTACTTTTACCTATTCATAATATTTAGGTAACTATTGGAATAAATATATATGTCTGTGATATAAGTATGATAAAACCAAGATGTATTTGTTATAAATTATTTAATAATTTGAACTAAACATATTGAATGTGTGAAAATAAATTTTAAACATTTCACAATTTTTTAAATTTATTTATGGATTGATTTAAGAGAAATATCTTTAATTACTAATTTGATTTATTACTTTGATTTTACTTTAAAAAGGAAAACAACTACCTTGGAGAACTTAGTAAAATTTATTTATTTATTTATTTGGTCTAATAATTTCAATATATAAGAATATATAATTTGGGCTTTTTAAATTACAAATCATAATAGTGTAAGAAAAGCTGACTATTAAATAAAGTTTTAAAATCAACCACAATTGCAATTTATAATACAAAGGGCAAACAAAAACAACCAATTGAAACTCTCTTTCATTGCCATAAAATCTGATCTATCATTAATTTGATCAATACTCACAAAACTACACTATTAATCATATAATTTGTTTTCTTTGGCTTATTCTTAACATCCATCCATCCAAAGCAATGAAGCATTCACCATCCTCACATCCATCCATAAATATCATCCACCACGAGGATGATATTTTTCATCCATCCATCGACTCGAAACCACATCTATCCATAAAATGTCATCTATTGATGGGGATGAAATTAATTTTTATTCATCCTTGACGCGGCACCGAGGCCAAGCTTTTGGCTGCTCGCCCCGCTTGTGAAGCTCTTCTTCTTTGTCTTCTTCGGAGGCTCATGTTTTCCGCTCCTGAGCAGATTTGGCTGTTGGAATTGGAGCGGGAGTTGCTGCTGATTTCGATTTCTTATTCTATTGCGAGAGAGAGAGAGAGAAGGATGTGGGTTACGGAACATTGCGATTGATGCCCTGAAGTGCAGGTTCTTTGCCTTCTTTGTCGTTCTTTCTCTCGCATTCCATATCGTGAATTTTTTTGACGCATTGATGTAGTCGGAGAGGCTTAATGTTTAGAGTAGTGAATATGTGCTCCTCCCCCTCGCATTTATCGTTCTTCCGGAGACTCTTCTCGGAAGCATAGTTCGAGGATTGTGTAGGCACTTAGACGGCTGTTCGGTTATTCATCGGCTCTGGGATTCTCTATCGATTGGCGGCTTGAAAGTCTTGCTTCACTGGTTTGCAACAGGAGATTTATTTTTATTTTTATATTAGTCTTCTCATTTTATTTATTTTCCTGTCGATTAGTTTATTTTTGCATGACGCACCTCGATCTGCGCAGAAAGTAATGATTCTTGATGAGGTTCAGAGTTTGACCTAATTGAGTTTTCTGGATATTTTATTTATTTTCTTTGGATTAACATTGGTGAGGATGATGATGGAATTCATTTGTCTTGTAATGTAGAAAGTTAACGCCTAACTCATGAATCTCGTGGTCTTTTCAGGAACCTGTCTGAGACCTTGCTCATTAGATATTCTTAGTGATCGACCATATTTCCTTGTTGAACTACGTTGTGGAGTGTAGTCATCATTATGGAGTTTTAGATAGTGAAAAGAGGAGGGTTAGCTCAGCAGCTATGGCACTCCGGAACATCTGGGAGGTGAGACATGCTCAACTTCTGTATTTTAGAGTCGGTGGAACTTTTCTAGGTTTCAGGACCAGGTTTCTAGGTTTCAGGAAACTTCAATGCGCATTTGTTTATAGATTTGATGTTGACTGGGGCTTTAGATTTTTTATTTTTGTTTTTCTTATTGTGTGCCGCTGACGAAGAGATTTAAGATTTTTTTTAGGGTGTCTTTGCGCCAGCCAAGCCGGCGAGCTCTATTTGGGAGATTCGCAAAGTGCAGAGAGGGTTGCGCTACGGAGGGCTTTATGTTCTTTTTGCTGGTGTCACTTACTTCTACACAAATATCAGGTGATGTCGCATGTTACCCGTTCGGATTTTGTGCATAAGTGTGTGTTTATTCAGATGGTTGTTGGAAATCCACATTGATTATGTTCGGTGTCCTATTCCTGCCCTTCATATATATATATATATATATATATATATATATATATAAGTATTTATATTTTCTTTTGATGATCGTTTAGTATTTAGTCGGTTCTTACTCAGTGCCGTATCATTTCTTGAATAGAAGCAAGGAGTTCGCAGACTGAGAAATTCGCAGCACCATAGAGCTCACGCTGTTCTTTCGTAATGATGCAGCACAAGGGCAGGAGTCCCTAGAATCAACCAAACATATAGTTCTTACCCTGCTGGGGTGGACATTCTATTTGACGCCACTGAGGTTCGGACTTATACCCTTGGATTTTTCATTATCTTGTGTACCAGAATTTTTTTATTAAGTTTCTTTTCCTTGTATTTAAATATAAGATTAGCTGCGTTCGTGATCACTGCGGAGCACCCTTGTTTTTAAGTAGATGAGAAACGACCGCAAAAGATATTGCCTAGCAATGAAGAGTTTATCGAGGATATGGAGTTCTGAATTTTGGTTCAATGTTGAGAAACAATTCCTTAGCTGCATGAATACCCACTCACAGTGTCTTCAGCATTTCACATCGATATTTTATTAACCTACAATATCAATATAGATTATCGATCACCTCAAGTAAGAACTACTAATTAGAATGTTGGTTCCTATGCTGTTCCAGCTCTACAAATCAGCTATTGGCAATGTCTTTGAGGAGGACGATTGGGGTCCGCTTGAATATGCTATCATGGCGAAACATTTTGATCGGCAAGGGAAAACTCCTTACATGTACCACTCTGTAAGTCTTTTTTTCCCTTCTTTCTTTCTTTCTTTCCTTCTTTAAAAATGCTTCATTTTTGGGATTCTAGAACACTCGTTTCTCCTTACATTTCTTGATTTTAGCGTAGTTGCTATCACACCTTTCCTTAAAGAATCGATTTTTATTTTATCATTTTTAACAATAACTACATTGGTCAATCCATTTGAAGTAAAGTAGCTTCCTGTGAAGAGATATAGAAATTAAAAGACAAATACCCAGGCTTTTCGTCGATATTCTGACTGCAACAGTGAAATGCAAGATAGAAAAAAAAAGAAAAAAAAAAGAAAAGCTTTTGATATCGGTAGGATGGAGAGCTATGACTGCCGCTGAAAAATGTGAGACTGACGACATCCGGGTATTCGTGTGCGTCATTATTTGGTCATTAACTATTTTATTGGTGTGCATGTGTTCGTGGGTTGCAGCAATACATGACACATCTTTTAACAAGTGGTCAGCTGAATGGGCCGTTTTAAATTTTGATTCTACCTATTTGCGAAAACTAGTCCTGAGGTTAGATACCACTCGTGTAAAGCGAATGCTGAAAGTTGCTTACTGTACTTTCAAAAACTAGACCGATATAGAAGGGGCTAAATTTTCCGTGAATGGGAAGCTTAAAAAACGGTACACCGTTCGATTTTATGCATTCCTCCTCTATTAATGGTTCATTTTACGATCCTATTTTTTAATTTCAGCTATCTGATAATTTGTGCATGCTTGAATTGTAAGGATTTAGGAATAAATTCTTTGGATAAAAAATCTTGAAGACTTCATAATTATAATGTCTAAATTAAAGAATAGACACATTATTTTTATTATTAAAGTAAAAATTCAAGCAATCACTATGAGCAACAGTTCTTAGTTTATACCATAGAAACCCAATTTTGTTAGCTAACTAAAATGGATTCATTAAAAAGACTTAAGATAAAATAAGAAATGGTGTTGGTAGTTTATAGATTTGGAAAAAGTTAATTGAAGCTAATGTTAATTAAGTTTGATTTTTTCAATGTATACAATTGTGTATAGATTTTTATAAATTAAAACTTGAAATATTTGCATAGGTTGTTATAAATTTTGTTCCGATTTTTAAGAACGATTTCTACATAATTTGTGTTATTATTTCATGAATATATTGTAATAATGCATAATGTATTTTGGTAATACATTATGCAGATAGAACTTAATTTAAGAAAATTTTAAAATTTATTCCATTTGTTAGCATTATAAGGCCATATTTGTAATTTTATTGAAATCCAATTGTGTATATATATATATATATATATATATATATTTTATTTCTTATTGTCATGAAGAATGTATTCTATTCTACCTAAATTTTAAATTCTCTACTTTGAATAATTACTTGATTTAAAGACTCCTTATACTATAAGAATTTTATTTTGAAGTATTCACTTTATCATCACAGATAACAGAAAAGGTAAGAGAATATATATATATATATTATATATGATAAGAGAAAGATTTATCTCAAGAATTTGGATTCTAATTCTTTTAGGAATTGACCATAGCTTATTCATAATAAGAGTTTCTAAAATTTTCAAAGTTTCAAAGTCATTTTCAATATAATGATACTTAATGTCTTTATAGTAATTCACATTTTATTGTCTTGTATTATATTTCTATATTGTTATAGTTTCAATGGAATCAACTAATACTTCTTCGAAAGATGAGTGCTTAATTTAAGAATGTTTTATTAAGATCTTCTAAGATTATATTATTATCTACTACTTAATCTTGGCTCTATTAGTAGTTTGTATTTGTAGCCAAATTTGTCAATATTAAAGATCTTTTTTGTTGGGATAGAAGTTCTTTAAATAAATGTTTTTAAGCATCATTGTTTTTTCTTAAAGATAATGCATAGTATGCATCTTATTATATTTAAAAATCAATTGCATGTTATGAATGCCAATTACATATTTTTTATAATACTTTCTTTTTGTTGCAAAATATTTACATAGAATTGATCTTTTCTTTTTGGTTTTAGTATTATAATGGATATTTTTACTAAGATTTTTATTGTTCCAATTGCTTCTACTACCTTGATTAAACTTATTGAATTTATTAATATATAATATAATAATTTAGCTACAACTATAAGTAAATAATTATAATTATAATTATGAATAAATAAAAGAATTAATTTAATATTAAAAAATTGATTTTTTTAAAAAATAATTATTTACTTACAATCTATTACTTAATTATTAGCCAAAGAAGATAAAAAGCTCTTCTATTGGATGAAAAGAGGTTTTCCTTCAAATTTTCTTTACATTTATACATCATCAATTAGATAGAAGTAAAAAAAAAGTTTAATCTTGTATTATTTATTATTAAATTTAGACTACTTCTATATTTATCTTATATATTTTTGATAATTTTTTAACGATGCAAAGGAGTTGCTTTTACTATTGAGTCATTAGGAGGAATCACCAAAATTGTAGTTGTGCTCCACCTTAACTATGTGACTTTCATCATGCTATATCCTCTTTTGCAATAGTTCCTCAATTTTTATCAACGTTGCACCTATCTTCACAAATTAACATACCACACCTGATCATGAGTTCTAAATTGAATTCAATTAGTCTTGTTAGAAATAAAACTTAAAGATTCATCTATTTTCCAAAGTCCACCCTCAAATTTGGTTGTATGCATCTAATATTGCTCCTTAAAGTTAATGTTCTACTTTGGCAAGGCAGCAAATTCCCTTCCACCAATTGGAGCACCACAACTTAATTATTGATTGTACTTGAGTAAAACTAATCTCATTCAAATCTTAACTTTAAATAGCATATTTTTCAAAAATTGAGCCTTTAGGTTGTCTTTATCTTTTTCATCTTATCCTCCAAAGTTGCACCTTCTATAATTCACTTGAATTCAAAGGCAATAAACTTAGGCCACAAAAATCAGCATTCCTACTATATCTTGACTTCAATGTGATTACTTCTTAATTTTAGGAAACTAAATTTTGTGAACTTTCTAAAATAAATAAATAAATCTTGTTACTTTTAAATTTGTGAGAAATAAAAAAATAACAGTCCAAAATTGAACTACGAAAACATTAAGGCATATACCACATTTTACTAAATTTGAAGATTCTTCCTAGTCTCAACTCCAAATTATACAAATTTTATGTTTAAAAAACTATAAAAAAAAAAAAAAAAAATATTAACTTTATCCAAATTTTTAAAGATAAATTCTAAAAATTGAAAGAAAATAGTAAAAAAAAAACCAAAGCCACTTACAAATTCAAGTGAAAATTTGGAATAGCTTTGCCTATCAATAAAAAAGAAGAGGCTGATCAATCAAATGAGCAATGAAAGCTTTTATACTCTTGCCCTAAGATCTAAGGATCTTAGCCACATCTCCATTCTTAAACTCTAGATGAAACAAGATAAAATTTTTTAAGCTCTAAAACCTTAACAAATCCATAAGAACAAAGATTTCAACACAACATAAGACTAAGTATACTAAAACAAAACTAAAGTAATTAAACAGAATAAAACATAAAAGATTTGACTATATAAAAGAGAATAGAACCACCACTCTAACCATGTGAGAAACTTCCCAAAAATGACTCTAATTACATATCTCTATATGCAAATAATACAAATATCCTATCCATACCCTGTTATGGCTAATCCTCCTTTACTAATGCAAAACGTCCTTGTTTTGCTCTCAATAGTATTTTTAAATAGTTTCTTGATAATGAGTGGGATTTTATGCAAGTTCTCATATTGTATCATAGATGGGATAAATTTTCTAGAGAACTTTGTATTAAAGTTACAAACATCCATTGTCATGACAAAGATAGTAATGTTTCAAAATATTATGCACTTCATACTCTTGTTGGTCATCAATCACAATCAATGGTAGTAGTAGTAGTTGATGTTGGCTTAGAAAGCTCCTTAGTTCAATATGAAATTCCTTGAATTACAAAATATGGAAGACCAAATAGACCCAAATATGTGACAAAAGCTTGAGGCAATATGTAATATCAAAAATTACTATAAAAATACGAAAAGATCCAAGCCATTGAGGTGTTAGCTTACAAACTTGGGTTGATGTAGCAAATTGAAGGTTGGCATATATTATCATTATGTACATAAATCCGCTTCTTGAAATAAAAGAAGCTATAAAAGATATGATAATCTTGATAATGCACATTGTCCATCTTTAATTGATTGATAACCATCTTAAAATAAGTATTGCAATAAATAGCTTTCTTTCATTTTTTTCTTCTTGTTAAATTTGAAATGATACTACTAATAGTAGCAACTTCTACCTTATGATGTAATTCGGAGTTTAAGTTAGATCTGTGCAATAAGGTATTTAATATAATATATTGTCACCCTTGTTTATATTCAAGCTGAATGTTAAAGAGTTGCAACTGCTCTTCTTAAAAATGATATCATGATTTCATATTTTTTAGATACAAATTGTATAGTAGGGATTGGTGGTCAGTCCAAACAATCACTAGCTTCTCTAATAAATAGTGTTGCCACACCTTTATAGCATATATAATTATTATTGATCTTCATCACATGCGGAATGATTGTACTTTGTCTTTTTAAGCTTGTATGATTTATACACCATAGGTTGAAGGCTCCTACAAAAATCTTGTTGAAGAATTGAGCTAATAGTAAAGTTAGAAGCATCAATATTAAGTATATATGGAAGGTCAAAATCACATGATTGCAATATTGCAGTAGTAATTAGTGCCTCCTTCAACTCCTTGAAAAACCTTTTTTGTTCTAATTTTCACTCAAATAAGGCACCCTTCTCCAATAAGTTTGTCAGTGAGGCAGCAATGTGTACAATTTGTTGAACAAAATAGTGATAATATCTAGTAAGACCTAAGATGAGTAGACTTCAGAAGCAACTTTGAGAGTTAACCAATCCTCCACTACTTTTACATTTTCCTACTTTATGTGCATGCCTTTGAAAGATATTACATGCTCCAAAAAGGTCACCTCCAACTTCCAAAGTTTATACTTTGATTGCTTATAATAGAAGCGATTGTCACGTAGCCAGCATAACACTTCTTATAGATATTGCTTATATACCTCAGAGATTTTACTATTGACTAGGATATCATCAATAAAGACAACTACATACTTATCAAAAAGGTTCCAAAATAATCTATTCATGTGACTCATAAAAGATACTAGAGAATTGGTGAGACCAAAAGTTAATATAAGCCACTCAAAATATCCATAGCACCTATAAAATGTTGTCTTTTATATATCCTCTTTAGCAATAAGGATCAGCAAATAACCACTTTGAAGATCTAATTTTCTAAAGATGGTTGTACCTTGAAGTTGGTCAAAAAGAACATTGATACGTGAAAGTGGATATGCATTCTTGATAGTCTATTCCACCACTAAGGCAAGATTTGAAACCACCACATATATCGGTTGCTTATGCCATATTTGCTTCTTCATAAAAGTCATTCCTACAAATATGCTCTTAGCTACAAATTGTTTTGTTATCTCACACAATATAAGAGTACAAAGAATCATTGAGTGCCTTCCATCCTTGAAAGAAGTTATCTTTGCTAATCAATCGACCTATTTATTCCTTACCTCTAGCCATGGTATATCAAAGTTAATATCATATCTAAGCTTTCTTACTCTGAACTTCTCTCTTAAGGCATAGGTGTCAGTTAGTCTTAGG